TGGACGTCACGGGGCGCTTCAACATGAAAAAAGCTTTATTGGCCCTACGTGCCACAGCAAGTAACTGACCAGAGGAGTTAACAACCGAGTTCAAAATGACCCCTAGGTCACTGATCTCTGGCACTTCTTCCATAGCCTCCTACACTGACTTCAATGTAGCGTAGCCCTGCGCTCCTTAACTCTCATGGCTCGTATTCAATGGGAGACCCCATTCCATGGACCGTGATTGCACTGCATCTAGGTCGAGGTGGATTTCCACACTCTGGTGCCAAGGAGTCTGACGTCAACCGCACAGATGAACCTCGGGTTAGATAGGCGAGGAACTAGGTCTTTCGTGAGGACCAAAAAACCAATGGTCTAAGGACCGAGCCTTGTGGCACCCCACTGTATGAATGCCCGCAAACAGACCAATTACCCTCCATCCTAACGCGAAAGGTGCACCCTATCAGGTAGCTCTCAGTCTACCTGGTGAATCCACAGTGGATCCCCTTCTGTCTGATGGAGCTTACTGCTCCCCTTGTGGTCGGTTTAGAATGGACGTACCCCTAGTGGGCATTCGCGGACCTCTTTGGTTTCTTCGTCAGAGAAAGTTCAATAGCTCTTTTTGCATCCAGGAGGATACGGTCGAAAAACTTCCGCTCCTGCAAGTACTGGAGATGCTTTAGATGCCCATCTGTGGCCCGCTTTCTAATCAAGGCTTTTATCATTCGGCCGGATCACCAAAGTGGAGTGGTCCTTGACCCAACGGGACAGAGTTGCCAATCTATTGGTGAGAGTCAGCAGGCTATCATTGATCAAGTCCCACGATTCCACCGCCCCATGGTTCGTCTCTGACTAGACCATGATCTGAATTTTCCTATTGGTCCAGAATTATCGGAAAGATAATTGAAATCATTCATTTTGTTATTTACTTTTTCTTACCGCAGATATTTTCTGTGAATATTTGTAACATTTCGGCTGGATAGTGAATCAGGCTCACTACCAGAGGTATGACTGCCTTATGTATTTGTGATACCAACGAAGAACCTGAAGGAGATACTACTGAGATGTACATACAATGTTCAATTTCTATTTGATGGAAAATTATACCGTCAAATTGACGGAGTGGCCATGGGTTCCCCATTGGGCCCATTGCTAGCAGACATTTATGGCCAAATTCGAAAGTACAGTGTTGAAGCCAGAAATAGAGCAAATGAGTCTATACTGCCGCTACGTGGACGACATATTCTGTCTTGCACCGAAAGGTAGGAACACGACAAGCTTGCTTAAGAGATTCAACGAAGCTCATGAATCAATTCATTTCACGTTGGAAACTGATAATTTGGCCTTCCTAGACGTGACACTCCTCCGAAGAGACGATGGTTCTCTACAACGTCGAATATATAGAAAACCAACGTGGACGGGACAATACACCCACTTTTAAAGCTTCGTCCCACTCAGACAGAAAAGAAATTTAATTCAGAGTCTCACATCACGAGCGCGAAAGATCTGCTCTGACAATGTGATAGATGAGGAACTAACAAAAATTAAGGACGTCCTCAGAGAAAATGGTTATCCTGAACGGTTCATTGAGAGAAACTTCCAGGAAAGGCGACAATCCGAACAAGTTCATGAGGCCCAGAAGTAAAAGCTATTCATTCATCTGCCTTTTCTAGGAGATGCTATATCAGACCTCTTGAACAAACGTCTAACGCGTACAGTGAAACGGACCTACAACGCAGCTCGTTTATCGTGTGTGTTCACAGGCTCGCCCATCATCCGAACTAGCCACAAAGATAGACTGCCTACGCTGGCCACTTCCATGGTTATCTACTCTCTCCGGTGCATTTGTAATGCAACGTACATTGGCCGCACGGCGAGGCAACTATCCCAACGGATGAAGGAACACTGCCCACGTTGGTTAAAACAAGGAGGAACAGGAAGCATAGGAAGTGCCATTCTTGGTCATCTAGTAGATACAGGTCATCAAATTAGACCGGAATCGGCTTTCAACGTAATCTATCGTGTACCCCTCAACCCCTCCAAAGCAGTGCGCTTACATACACTAGCCACCGCTGAGGCGATAGGCATTCGCCTATTCGCACCAGAACTATGTGCACAAAAGCGACTGGTTCAAGCTCTCCACTTACCCTGGCCCCAAATTGATCATCAACATCACCACCACCACTCCAATCACAATCAGTCTCACCCGAACACAGACACATAGAGCTTAACCCTTTGACCCAGCGTGAAAATGTGTCCTCACTAACAACAAACTCTTATGTGATCTGTACAGGCATGATTATGAATCATTCGAAGACAATTGTTCGCCTTCGGACTTATGTTCTGATGTTACAATGGGATTACTTCGGTATTTGTGATTAGTGCAAAAATATTATCGTAGATTATTTTTGGATCGACTTGGTTCTCGATCATTTGGGCTACGCGTTGGTCTGAGATTTGTTTGTCGCTTTTCAAAACGAGCGAAGGGTCATTTGATTGAACGCGTACAGACGAGGTCCTTTTCGTTTCGCTCGGACCAGGACACGGGCGTTTTGGTCGTTACAGTACTCTGATATGCGCGTCACTCGGAGGATGTATATAATGAACAAGGACGTTGATGAGGAACAGCGGGGATCCGACGACATCACTGGAGAATCAAGGCAAGTCCCTTTGCATGGTTTTCCGGTTCATGGCTCTAAGGTTAGTGGGTCTAGTCGGTTGAGCGATAAGTCAAAGCTTAGCGTGTCGGTAATTGAAATGATGGAACGCCATCTGCGAGAGAAAATGGAGCAGCAGATGAAAGACCTCCAAGAAAGGCAAAGAAGCAAACTGCTAACAGTACGACAAGAAGTGAAGAGTGCAAGGCTCGCAGAAAAAATGGAGGATAAGTTGTCCTACAGTTCTAACGTGAATGAGGACGGAAAGGATCGAGTGATGCAGTTTGTTGAAAACCATCTAGTATGGGACGCTAGGGAGGCGAGTGATCCTTTTGTTCCCAGAACAGCAGGGTTCGGTGTGCTAGAGACAAAACATAAGACGACGACGTCCACATCAGGCCGCATTACTGCGAATCTAGACCTACCCAGAGTAGAGCTTCTGTCTTTCGATGGGTGACCCACAATGTACTGGAGGTTCATTCGGCAATTTCAAATGTACGTTGCCTCCAAGACTAATGACGATGAGCAACGCTGGTTATATTTGCTTCATTACTGTAATGGGAAGGCTAGGAGCGCAACTAAAGATTGCATCATGTTGCCACCCGCGGTTGGGTACGATAGGGTATGCACGATTCTCAAAGATCTATTTGGGCGCTCACACGAGGTAGCGCGCTCACTTTTAGATGGATTACTGGAGGGTCTCAACATGAATGGCGTGGACGCTGATGTATTGTCATGTTTAGCTATTCGAATGGAAAGCTGCATGATCACCGTGGAACAAATGGGCTACACGGCTGATCTTAATTCGCTTAGCACATTGGAACAAATAGTTAAAGAGTTGCCGTATTCCCTGCAACAGAAGTGGGCGGAGACCATGGATCGGATTGCTCAAAACGACAGGGAGCCAAATTTTAGCGAACTAACAGAATTCATATCTGCAATGGCTAGAGTAGCGAGGAGTCGCTTTGGGCAACTTGCTAACGGAAGCAGAAGAAGTAATAGACCCGTCCAGTCTATACAACCTTTAAGCAGGCGTCACCCTCCATTAAACTATAGTGTAAATTTGGTCAAGAATATTAACAATCTACACACAACGATGCGTGATTTGTGCTGAAAACCATCTGGTTTCATTTTGTTCGAATATTCGGAGTTAAACACCCAGGAAAGATGAGACAAGG